ATCAATCTACACTCCATACACCATAATGGTAAAGCAAAAACAGGTTTTTAACATCTTTGCAAATTTAATAAAAATAAAAAACTTAAATGATTCTATTGAATAAGTATTCATACCCTTATCTGGGACAATTGAAATTTAGCTCAGGAGCATTCATATTGCTTGTAGATGTTACTACACTTAGTAGTTAACCCTGTGGCAAATTCAATTGAATGGATATGATTTGGAAAGGCACACGCGTCTTAGTAAAAGGTCTAACAGCTGATAATGCATATCAGAGCAAAAACCAAGCCCTGAGGTCAAAAGACCTGCCTGTAGAGCTCAGAAACAGGTTTGTGTCAAGCCACACATCTGGGCAAGAGTTCAGAAAAATTCTGCTGCATTGAAGGGTCACAGAAGCATGTAGTCTCCGTTACTCTTAATGGAAGAAGTTTGAAACAACCAGGACTCTTCCTAGAGCTGGCTTCCTGGCCAAACTGAGCAATTGATGGAGAAGGGCTTTGGTTAGTGTGGTGACCAAGAACCTGATGGTCACTCTAGTTGAGCTCCATGATCATATGTGGAGATAGGAGAAACCTACAGAAGGACAAACACCACTGCAAAACTCCACCGATCTGTGCTTTATGCCGGTGTGGCCAAATTCAATCCTCTCTTCAGCGAAGACACATGAAAACACTTGGAATTTGCAAAAAAGCTACTAAAGGACCCTCAGACTGTGAGAAACAAGATTCTCTGGTCTGATGAACCTCAATTCCAGCATCATGTTTGAAGGAAACCAGCTCTGCTCATCACCTGCAGATTAGCATCCCAAAAATAAAGTGTGCTGGTAGCAGCCTCATGCTGAGGAACTCGTCAGAGTAGATGAAAAGCTCAATGCACCAAAATATTGAGATAGCCTTAATGAAAACCCAGTCCAGAGCATTCAGAACCTCAAACTGGGCAAAAGGTTCACCTTCTAACAGGACAATGACCCTAAGCACAGCAAGAGTGGCTTGCATAAGTATGAATACTTATGCAATGTACTTATTTCAGTTTTTTTTTATTATAAATTTACTAAGTTGTGACAATTCTGTATTTGCTTTGTCAATATGGTGTATAGAGTGTAGACTGATGTGGAAAAAAGGTAATTTAAAGCAGTTTAACAAGGCAGCAACATAAAACGTGAAAAAAAGAAGAGGTATGGATACTTTCGCAGGGCACTGTATCTAGTGGGTCCTGCTTTTCCAACCTTTGAAAAAGGTGCTTCTCTTATACTTGTTTTGGTTTTTTAAAGCCCTTTCTATTATGGGAAGCCAATGCTAATTAAATGGTTAAAAATGTTGTGTTATATTACAAGACTTTAAGACTGAACTTGGCAGCCCTTACATGTTTTTAAATGCTCTGAACCTTACATCAAAATTTAATTCTTCCATCTTTCTACTGTTTGAAAGTTTGGGTTCGGTAAGATTTTTTTCAAGTGTTATTAAAAGAAGTCTCTAGTGCTTACCAAGGCTGCATTTATAAAAAAAAAAAAAAATTTTAATACAGGTCCTTCTGAAATCATTAAAATATGCTGACTTGGTGCTCAAGAAATATTTCTTATCAATGTTGAAAACAGTTGTGCTGCTTAATATTTTTGTGGAAACCGATTCTTTTTTTTTTTTTTTTACGGTTCTTTGATTAACAGAAAGTCACTTTCAATCATTATGTGTCCTTGCTGAATAAAAGTATTAATTTTCGTCAAAAAAAAAAGAATCTTACTGACCCTAAACTTTTTAATGGTAGTGTACAGTAAGACTGTTCACTGTTGTGTAAATGCTTTCAAATAAACATGTTTTTTTCTGTAATTTATTTATCTCCGAGCATGAATATAGATATTGTTCCTTCTAGAGAGGGTCTGTCTAATCCATTTAACTTGTGTAACCAGATTTCAGCTAGCAATGTTCTTCTGTGTTAGTGTGGATGGAACAATAGAAGAATCACCAACACATTTAACTTACTCTATGCTCTCCGTTAGTAATTTCTTATTGTAATAAATGAGTTTTTTTTTTTTTCCCACATTCTGCAATAATGCTTTTATGTTTTTGATTTGTTGTACAGCCAGTACACCGCTTTCATACTATTTTGAATATCACGATCATTAAGAAACCATATTCACTACTTGTGTATTAATGCATGAGATCAAATTAAAGGTTCACTTTACTGGGTCACAATGAGTTTATCTCGACCATTTAGTCATTTGACACAAGCACTGCAAGAATCAAGAGAATTACACACATACACACAAAAATGCTGTTGACTTTTAATTTAGGTCATTCTTTACAATAAATTGTTATTGTACGTACATGAATCTATTAGTTATATGTCCAAAGACATGCAGACCACCTGCTGAAATGACACTTACCTCCAGGTTAACATTCAATGTTATCTACCAGGATAGTTAGAGATTTACTCATCTGATAAAATGTCAATATAATTTTATTTATAACAAAAATTAATATGGTAAAATACATCTTTAATAAAAGCACAACATGAAAATGACAAAACTTTACAATAACAAACAGTGTTTGAATGAATTGACGGTTTTTAAATACAAGTCAGTGGCCCTTCGAGTGAGAACTGTTCATTTTGTAGCCTCATGTAGTACTAGGACAAAACTTTTATCTACTAATTCTGAATTTAAGAGTAAAGGTTAGTCTGACATTTCTAGACTTTCAATGGTCTGATATTTGTAATACACTATACATGTAATTATATAAAGAAAACCATGTGTCTCCATCTTAACATTTTTTTACTCTCATATGAAAAAAAAAATACAATACAGGTTTGGAGACCTAATATATTGTGCAGACGTGTTTTCTGAATTACAGAAATGTTAACCTGTATGTTTAATATTTTTATGGCAAGATAGACTGTAACTTCACTCCTGAGGTTTAACTGAAATCACAATAATAGTTATCCAACTAGAGTTCAATATTGTAAATATTGCTAATATAATTGTCTTCAAGCAAATACGCACTTTATCTGAGCTGGAAGATACCATATGACACGGAAACACTCAAAGTGCTTGACAAAACTGACCTGCAAGCCAACAAGGAAAAGGAAAATATGAAAATATTGCATGTACCGCTGATAACACAATTAACTTAGAGCTGTTGTAGCTTTGCATAGTAGTGCCTTTGCAACCCTACTCCATCAGACAGGCCTTTAATGTAGTGACTCAAAACAAAGCACCCAAATCGTTCAGCTCCCAGCCATGTTTCATTGCTTGTGCTGAATCCTAGTTAATGTGTATTCTGATTTTTGACTTTCCTGACTGATAGGGGTTCACATTTGCTGAGTGAGATAAGGTATGTACAGTAATCCTGAGCTCGTTACAGTCACAGGTAGTAAACGGAGTCACATTATATCCCATCGTTATAAACCTGAATACAGAGTCTTGTGACGTCTGGACCTTTGCTTATATACTGAAGCCATGCAAACAGACATTATAGCAGATATTGTAAGATGCAATTTTCCTCAGTTAGGTGTCACAAAAAGAAACAGTACTTTTAAAAAATATGTATCAAATCATGTACTGTTAGATATGAATCACATTAATAGCATAATAAAAGCCGTTTCATTATAAAAAGCCGTGTCTCCTTAAGATCACAGGACCAGCAAAATACTGCTCACTTTAACTCCGTAACCCTTCTATTACTAAACACTTTAGATGAAAGATTAAATGGAGCCATAGCTGACTGCAAATAGAGCATTTCTACAACCGCAAATGTCTATAAATGAAAAATGTTGCTTTTGTGTGATACTGGATCCAAAGCACAAGTTGTCAGTATATGTCCAAAAACCCATACAGCACAACATCAACAAAAGTGACAAGAGTGAGCCTTGACACAAGTCAGTTATTGGTAATGTCCTTAATCACATAATCAACTATTTAATAAATGCAGAATTTAAACTGATATTATAAGACTTCTTGCAGGCTTGTGTGTTAGGTTTATTAATACTATGATCACGGATCCTGAAATACACTACCGTTCAAATGTTCAATAAGGGTTTAAGATATTAATACTTTAATTTAGCAAGGGTGCATTAAATAGATCAAAAATGGCAGTAAAGAGAGCGCCAAATCAGCATATCAGAATGATTATGTAACGATGTTGAAAATTCAGCTATGCCATTACAGGAATAAATTACATTTAAAAATATTTTAATATTAAAAATGTTTTGATCAATTTTTTTACATTTTTGATCAAATTAATGCAGCCTTGATGAGCATAAGCGACTTTAAAAATCTAATCGACAGCAAACGTTTGAACGGTAGTGTATTTGCCAGCCTCAATGTGAGTGATGATAAATACTCAGCAGATCTGAGCTTTCTAAAGCACATATCTAAAACAGCGCACACAGACACAACGACTGGCCAAAAAGTACTTACAACACCAGGACAACTGCTTCAATCCAGTTTAAAACCACTTTACCAGGAGTCTGTCTCACATAAAACATCTACACTCTCCAAAGATCCAAAATAATCAGCTTTTCATTAAGAGACCATGTGTAATGCTATGTATTAGTAGTGTATTATATAACTAATAGTACTGAATTCCCATTGCTGAGGCTCCTTTAAAAGGCAGAAGAAAAAGTTCATTTTTCATGTTGATCTTATTATGTTAAGAGAACGCAATGACAGACATTGAGCATACATGACCTCAGGTATTGCAGTTTTTTCCAGGGGGACACAGGAAGTTGTGATGGCTCTGACAGTAATCGGAGGAAGTGTGACCACTACACCTGACTCTGCAGCCAGTTCCTGGGGTCTAGCTTAGAATAAAAAACAATTTAAAAGAAGTATAAATTAAAACCATGAATATACAGCAATCTATTACGGTTTCATCTAATACCTAACAACAACAACAATAATAATAATTTAGCGCATTATTCATTTAATTTATATTAAGGTTAGAACTATATTTGAAATTTACATCAAGTAAAAGTTGTTGGTCACATGGGCGACAAAAACGGTTGGGATCACGTGGGCCAGTAGAGGGTGGGGTCAGGTAACTTCTCATCAGAGTTACTTCACCTGTCATTGTAATAGGAGGAGAGCAGAGCTCGGATCTCAGCAGAGACAGCGTTATCCTGCAGCAAAAGCCCCTCACCGGATGCAGGGGCCACTGAGGAGGGGGAAGCCAGCAAAACACACGAGGGGCCAACAAATGCAGGGTTGTGGGGAGGGCACGGGAATGAGTGTTTATATATCAACCAAATAATGATACAGTGGTTGGGGAATGTATGGGATGGATGTTTGGATTACAAATGTAAGGCATGTAACCAGGAAAATACCAGAGTGTATGAAAAATCAATAGGAACAAAGTGAAAGAAGAGAGAAAAAACAGACAAGAAAACAACAGTGAAGGGACAGACATAAAAACCACAGAGAAAATAAGACGGAAAGAGAAAGAAAAGACTGTCAGTTTGTCAGAAACAGCCGACTTTCCATTCAGCAGTTAAAGGAGATAAATTGATAAAGAGAAAGACTCAGATCTGACAGAGGACGAGGACATGCAGTTCAATCCACACATTAATGTTAGATTCACAGGCATATCTGTGCTTGTGCATGATTTCTGTTATTACCTGTATGGCTCTATTGTGTCGCTTGGCTTTATTTTGTGACAATCCAGAGCTTCAAACTCTGCTACAGCCTCTGTAAATGTGTAAAAAGGTGTCTGAACACACTCACCCATCTCATGGTACAAGGAGCCCTGCTTGGGTGTGACTATGGCAGGTTTGCGTGGGGAAGGCAGCTCAATCTTCATCAGGTCATCACAGCACTGCCTCCACTGGCCTGTAGAGGGAGCAAGCAGCTTAGTCAAACTTTTCTGGCAAGCGCATTGAACTCACAATCAGGCCAATGAATTATATCACCTGGCATAATTTATGTATTCAATTTTTTTTTAATGTATATAAGTGAGCATTGTGTGTTTCAGCATATTGCTGTTGTCACCATTTCTCAAAAGCAGAAAGCCACTCAAGGGCAGACATAAAAATGATTTTAACACAGTTAAGGGTTTTTTGCTCAGTAATGTACATCTTTGTGTGGCTTATGGCTTTATAGTAAGTTTAGAATTCATGTACTCACTCATATCATAGAACTGCTGCCAGAAGGCCTCCATCCAGCGCTGTGTCTCTTCTCTGCTGTCTGCAGCTAGTGTGTGCGTCACCTCCTCTCCTCCATACTGGTTAGTGATACAGATATTCTGTGCCTTGCTGTGAGGATCCTTCTCTGCGGCCCGGATTCTCGTCTCCTGAGATACACATGAAAAAATTAAAATAACAAAAACTGTGAAATTACTAACCTAAAATGATATAATATGCACTACAGACTGGGGTCGGTATGATTTTTATACTTTAAAAAAAAAATGCATCATGGTACTGTTGTGAATGTGTGTCGAAGACTGACACGGAAGAGAAAAAATTTGAAGAGAGTTGTTTTTTTTTGTTTTCTTTGTGCACAAAAAGTATTCTCGTAGCTTCATAAAATCAAGGTTGAACCACTGATGTCACATGGACATTGCATTGCTGTCTATGGAGGGTCAGAGAGCTCTCGGATTTCATCAAGAATATCTTCATTTGTGTTCTGAAGATGAACGAAGGTCTTATGAGTTTGGAACGACATGAGGGTGAGCTATTAATTACAGAATTAGATTTTTTATGATTCTTTGTTGTTTGAAGAACAGCATGTTTGAAATAGAACTTGTTTTGTAACATAAGTCTTTACTGTCACGTTTAATCAATTTAATGTGTACTTGCAGAACAAAAATATTAATTTCTTTCAAATGAAAATAAAAAAAACTCACTGACCCTGAACTTTTGAAGTGTAGTGTATATTACAGTATATAACTGAAAGGCAAAATCGCTTGGCTTTATTTTGTGACAATCCAGAGCTTCAAACTCTGCTACAGCCTCTGTAAATGTGTAAAAAGGTGTCTGAACACACTCACCCATCTCATGGTACAAGGAGCCCTGCTTGGGTGTGACTATGGCAGGTTTGCGTGGGGAAGGCAGCTCAATCTTCATCAGGTCATCACAGCACTGCCTCCACTGGCCTGTAGAGGGAGCAAGCAGCTTAGTCAAACTTTTCTGGCAAGCGCATTGAACTCACAATCAGGCCAATGAATTATATCACCTGGCATAATTTATGTATTCAATTTTTTTTTAATGTATATAAGTGAGCATTGTGTGTTTCAGCATATTGCTGTTGTCACCATTTCTCAAAAGCAGAAAGCCACTCAAGGGCAGACATAAAAATGATTTTAACACAGTTAAGGGTTTTTTGCTCAGTAATGTACATCTTTGTGTGGCTTATGGCTTTATAGTAAGTTTAGAATTCATGTACTCACTCATATCATAGAACTGCTGCCAGAAGGCCTCCATCCAGCGCTGTGTCTCTTCTCTGCTGTCTGCAGCTAGTGTGTGCGTCACCTCCTCTCCTCCATACTGGTTAGTGATACAGATATTCTGTGCCTTGCTGTGAGGATCCTTCTCTGCGGCCCGGATTCTCGTCTCCTGAGATACACATGAAAAAATTAAAATAACAAAAACTGTGAAATTACTAACCTAAAATGATATAATATGCACTACAGACTGGGGTCGGTATGATTTTTATACTTTAAAAAAAAAATGCATCATGGTACTGTTGTGAATGTGTGTCGAAGACTGACACGGAAGAGAAAAAATTTGAAGAGAGTTGTTTTTTTTTGTTTTCTTTGTGCACAAAAAGTATTCTCGTAGCTTCATAAAATCAAGGTTGAACCACTGATGTCACATGGACATTGCATTGCTGTCTATGGAGGGTCAGAGAGCTCTCGGATTTCATCAAGAATATCTTCATTTGTGTTCTGAAGATGAACGAAGGTCTTATGAGTTTGGAACGACATGAGGGTGAGCTATTAATTACAGAATTTGATTTTTTATGATTCTTTGTTGTTTGAAGAACAGCATGTTTGAAATAGAACTTGTTTTGTAACATAAGTCTTTACTGTCACGTTTAATCAATTTAATGTGTACTTGCAGAACAAAAATATTAATTTCTTTCAAATGAAAATAAAAAAACTCACTGACCCTGAACTTTTGAAGTGTAGTGTATATTACAGTATATAACTGAAAGGTAAAATCGGATGGTTTTATGATAAATTTTAGCAAAAATTAAAATTCAGTGAAAAATAAAAGTATGCTAATTTGAAACAAAAACATAGGTATGTTGACCACTCACATATTTATGTATACTTAAAAACAATGCCGACAACTCAGAGTCTAGCACTCTCTATTCTAATTCTATTCTTAAAAAAAAAAACTACTTTTACTAACACTAGTTTCTCTATTGTTTTTGTATTATCTATTTGTTTTCTTTTTATTTATTATACAATTAACTTGCTACGTGTACTGCGTTAAGCTAACTGAGACTTGTCATAGCACTTGCATATCATTGCTCTCTTGTTGATTTTGATTGCTTCCATTGTCCTCATTTGTAAGTCGCTTTGGATAAAAGCGTCTGCTAAATGTAAATGTATCTATTGTCTATTTGTTCTAACAATGTAAAATAATTTAAACTCAAATTTAATGTCATTTATTTATGTGTTGTGGAGCCATGTAATAAGTAGAATAATGTACAGACTGACAGAGTTTATTTCAGAATAAAGACTTGTTGGATACACATTTTACAATTCACATTATTATAACATCTAAAGGATATAGTGTAAAATGTTAGTTTTTCACTTTCAAATTTTTCTTTTAAAACATTTTGAGCTACACAGTTATGCATTAAATTCTTGTTTGAATTCACAGTCATAGTATATAATAGCAATGCCTGCAGCCAAAGCTTTTGCACATATTTTGCAGAATTAAATAGTAATCTCAGTTCTAACCAGTAGGTGGCAGCAAAGCACAAGTAAAGTAAGTGTAGCGCAAAGCAGTCACCTGAGAGCTGAGGAATGTGCAGACTCACAGTGCAGCTCTCAGATGTTAAAACAAGCTTCTTTGTGCTCATGACATGCAGCTCTCTAGGGGCACTGAAAGATCCAGACCCAGTGCATGGCAAACAAAACATCTTTTCATAACTACTGACACAATGAGAAACGTTCCGACAAAAAACATCTCTTTCTAAAAAGAGACAATCCATTTGAAAGAGTGCTTTCAAAGAAAAATATCTCATGATATCTCCAAAAGCAGAAAATGACCCTGATATCATGTGCATAAATGAGCACGCTTGAAATTTCCAGAAGAGGACAGAACTTACTTTGTTAATCCCAATAGTTAAGACAGGCTCCACGTTGGCCTCCATGTCCTCTTTTTGATGATAACAGAAGAGATTCGTTCCTTTTAAAACACCGTAGACATTTGTCCATCCTTGTGGCTCACCTCCAAGCTTGAGAGAAAGGAAGGAGAACATTAGCCAAAGCAAACTGAAATGGAGAAATATGATATTGAAGTGAGTGAGTGCATGTGTTTGCAACATACCTTTACCCTCAGACAGCCACTCATCATCTGTTGTGTCATACACTGAGGTTGAGCAGCCAGACGACAACATACACCGCCATACAGAGGCAGCCAGTACGAACACTCCTCTACAGAGAGACAAAGAGACAGTAACTACTGAGAGAAAGATAAAAAAGAATGCTTGACTTACAAAGTTAGAAACTGTATTTTAAAACCCAAGTAAACAAGCTATTCAAATGACATCATGTTTTGCACCCTATATTTTTAGTACATATTTTACGACAAAGTAAACTATCATCTGCGAGAGCAAGCAGCCCACACTCAGGCCGTAAGAATGTCTGCAGTAACTCTTCACACATAAAGATGGCTATAAGCGCCTCTTATTGGCCCTTCACACACCATGACCCTAACACAATAAATCTGACAGACGTCGACAACACACACACTGCGGGCCTGTCTGTAATTGATTACCTGCAACATGAAGAAAACTAGCATGCCATAAAACTAATGTGCTTTAAATAAAATCCCAGAAGGCATTTGTTGACAGAACTTGGATGTTACAAACTGTTTATCAGACAAAGTATCTCACTTTGTTACTTTAACTTTAAGTATCAAATTATTATATCAAATGACCTATTTTTGCACAGTACTTTGACATGTTTTCTACATAAAGATGTTTCTGGTTACAAAAAAGTTGAGTTTTAAAAAAAGGTTCGGCAGCTTACCATTTCCTGTGATGGTGAGGTCATGTGTGCGGAAGCTATCCTGGACGTGAGAGACATTGAGGGTTGTGTGAGCCAAAAGATGATATTTGGGGCCCCTATAAACACATAAAACCCAATGAGAAAAAGCAATATGCAGTTGATGGTAACCATTGACTTCCATAGTAGGAAAAAAAATACTATGGAAGTCAATGGTTACCACCAACTGTTTGGATACTGACATTTTTCAAAATATCTTCTTTTGTGTTCAACAGAAGAAAGAAACTCATACAGGTTTGGAACAAGTGGAGTAAATGATGACAGAATTTTCATTCTGGAAGTGAACTAATCCTTTAATGGCTGCTGAAAATTTAGCTTTGCCATCACAGAAATAAATTACATTTTAAAATAGCAAACAGTTATTTTTACTTGTAATATAATTTCTAAATATTTCTGTATTTTTGATCCAATAAATGCAGTCCTGGTGAGAATAAGAGACTTTTAAAAGCATTTAAAAAAATCTTACCGACCCCAGACTTTTAAACAGTATTGTATACTGCGTAATGTATTTTTATATCATTGAACATATGTTTATCACTGGTCCGCAGTTCACAGCAATCCTTTTAGCATTTTAGATTCACGTAGCAGCAGTGTGTTTATGTGTGTGTTTCTACACACTTACGGTGCAGAGGGCACAGGCAGCAGGATTGTCGCTCCTCCTCCATTGCTAGTGGGGCTGCAGGCTCCGGGCTCCAAGGCCGCCCTCATTTTCTTTCCCGCTGACCTTCCCAGAGATGAGCTCAGCTTGCTGGCCAGCTTCCGCGGTGTGCTGCCTGCTGAGTAGTCCTCCTCTGAACAACAGCTATACAGCTCCACCCGCAGCTCGAACCCTGGACAGGCCTCATTACTACACACAGGAAACACAGCATGAATGAAGCACTTTGTATTACTACATACATTTAATATCAATATAGTGCAAATGTTTATTTAAATACAGTATATACTACGGTTCAAAAGTTTGGAGTCAGTAAGATTTTTTTTTTTTGTTGAAAGAAATGAATTTGTTCAGCAAGGATGTATTACACTGATCACAAGTGACAAAGACATTTATGTTACAAAAATTTTGGATTAAATCAACACTACTTTTCAAACTTTCTTTTCATCAAAGAATCAAAACTGATAAAAACAGTTTCTACAAAAATATTAAGCAGCACGACTGTTTTCACCAATGATAATAACAAGAAATGTTTACTGCACACTAAATCAGCATATTTGAATGATCTCTAAAGGATCATGTGACACTGAAGACTATCTATCTATCTATCTATCTATAAGTGTATAATTTATATACTTTGATACAAACCAACTATAGCGGTTTTGAAAGTCACACCAAGATTAAACACTATATTTGTATGGAAATAATGTCCAGAAACAGTTAAACTGACAAAATAAACATGCACACTTACAAGACAATTGTGTTGTCAAAGCAGATATCTGTCAGCGTCCTGTCCACCATCACCATGTCTGTGTCAAAGATCTCTCCACCCAACTGAAGCAGACAGAACACAGCACACCGATGCAGCTCTGAAGAATAAAGAAAGACATTTAACATGATTTCTACTCAGAAGTCACACCTGCTGTAATGTCTTCACCAGTGTAGCTGCATATTTGGCCCAGTGCCTATAAAATCCCCCAGAGCAGCTCTGTTCATTCAGGAAACATTTACTCCTGCACCTGTGAGAGTGTGCTGTCCTGCTTTTTCCTGCTCAGGGCAACATTAGTATCTGTGTATTTTTTCCTTGTATAAATTGTAGAACATGAATTATTGTGACACAACCAGTCTTAAACGTTTTTGCCCTAATCATTTCGATGGCTATTAAAATATATGTTGCCATTAACAGGATAAAGCACACATAAAAGCTTTCCCATGAGAGAATAACACATGCATGTGGGTTCCTGTATCACATTCATCAACATAATGTCACCTCTATCAGCTGTTCTAAGCACCTTAGGCAAAACTACATTAGTCACTGTTGTCTGGAAAAAGGTTTCCAGCACCAGTAATAATATTCTGTTTACCCAGAGGGCTTTGCTGGGCCTGAATGCTTCATAAATAAATGTGTTTTTTGTTATCGCGGTAATGCATATACTGAATGCGCAATGTATCTGAGCAGTATTTTCTGTGTGCGTGCTATACAAAGGGTTATTAAGATCAAATATATTCTAAACAGCCGGCACTGTTATTTAACCTGCATATCAGAGTGAAGAGGAAAAACAGATGTTACCTCCTTTATTCTTAAAATAAGGTTATAACACACACACACACGCACACACACGCACACACACACACACACACACACACTCAGTGTCACTCACAGCTGCAAGCAACCAATGCCGGCTATCACTCCATGTCAATCAAAAGAAAAATACATTCACAACACTCATCTGGTATTTTATGCCATGCTGCCAGCCAGTATAAATCACCAGTATAAACCATTATCATACTGGCCCACCCACCACATCAAGACCACATTCATCACTTCAGCCCACCTGGATGAGCTCCTCTGTCAAGGTCTGTGTAACCAGGCTTGTTAATAACGACAGAACGTCATTAAATTAATAGGTAGAGGTTGTTAGGGAACAATTAATATGGTACTGACTGCAGATGACGGACAGCAAAAAACAAAAAACGGAGGCTGCATGTGGGAACATTAGATTGTATGTGCGTGGGATGAACTACATGATAAACAGTCTTGATGCATTTAAATGGAATGATGGTGCATGAGCAGGAATCCCACACAGAATCTGCAGCTGAAGAAAGCATAGCATATTTCTGCAGAACAGGAACGCTGGTCATTGATACAATTCTATGAATGCCCCACCATGTTTGTTGGTTTATTAAACATTTTATCTAATTTCATCACTGCACAGAATTACACAGAATATTGTGTTGATTCCATCTGTGCGGCTGCATATGAGTGTGGTTTACATTAGTGTGCATGTGATTCTGAAGTAGGAGTATAAGGTCCTCCATAACCTCTTCATAATGACGTCATAATTACAGCATTTACTGAGTTTCAGCCCTCTAGGCCCCTCACTGTGGGTCTCAAACACAGATTGCCATGGGTGCAGTTGATAGCACTAGGTGTTCAGAGGGGGGGTTGGCTACTCTAAAAGATCCAGACAGTGAGGAGGGGAGGAGGACTCGTAAAAGAAGCCCCTAGAAGACTCGGACACAGGCGCTGATATATAAAACAGCAGGGGTGTGATTTAGTGCTCAGACACCCATATAAACAGACTGGTTTGCATGATTTACGCACAATAGACAGAATCAAAACCAGAGAATAACATGATATATAACATTCTCTGTTTATATATACCATTCAAAAGTTTGGGGTCAGCAACATAATTAATGTTTTTGAAGGATGTCTCATGCTTACCAAAGCTGCATTTATTTGACCAAAAATATAGTAAAAACAGTAATATTGTGAAATATTATTACAATTTAGGATAACTGTTTTCTATTTTAATATGGTTTTAAAATGTAATTTATTCTTGTGATGGCAAAGCTGAATTTTCTGCAGCAATTATTACTCCAGTCTTTATTATCACACGATCCTTCAGAAATCATTCTAATATGATGATTTGGTGCTCAAGAATCATTTCTTCTTATTATCAATTTTGAAAACAGCAGTGCTGCTTAATATTTTTGTGGAAACTAATACATTTTTATCAGGATTCTTTGATGGATAAAAAGTTCAGAAAAACAGCATTTATTTAAACTTCATAGAAATCTTTTGTAACAAATATTACTACTGTCCCTTTTGATTTACTATGGCACTTCTGATGTGATAGTTCTTTAAAAATCTTATAGACCCCAACATTTTGAACAGTACTGTATATATATATATATTTTTTTTCATTAATTTTCATAAATTAATCATTACTGCCTGAATTCTTTTCTGTGAACATACCTGAAATGGCTACTTTGCCTTTACATGGGGATCGGTCATCCATTGGACCTGCATCAGAAGACCTGAACACAAACAATAAGATGAAGTGAAAGTGACGTGACATGTGGCCAAGTATGGTGACCCATACTCGGAATTAGTGCTCTGCATTTATCCCATCCAAAGTGCACACACACAGCAGTGAACACACACACACCGTGAGAACACACACCCGGAGCAGTGGGCAGCCAATTTTTTGCTGCGGTGCCTGGGGAGCAGTTGGGGGTTCGGTGCCTTGCTCAAGGGCACCTCAGTCGTGGTATTGAAGGTGGGAAGCGCTGTACATTCACTCCCCCCACCGACAATCCCTGCCGGTACGAGACTCGAACCCGCAACCATTAGGCCATGACGTCCCCATACAAACGTGCACATTCACCCCCCCCACCGACAATCCCTGCCGGTACGAGACTCGAACCCGCAACCATTAGGCCATGACGTCCCCATACAAACCACAATGCGTAAAATGATTCAGTTATAATTAACGCTGAAGTGGTCAGACAAATAGATAGTCCTACTCCAAATGTATAATATTGATTGAGCCAATGTTGTTGTGTCAGGTTGTGTGCTCAAATAAATAAAGCAAATGTACTGACATCTATACATAGGTTCAAGATGACAGTACAACAAGTTATTTAACCTAAAAAGGTCCTAAGTACAATTGTCTCTACATGGTAAACTGGAATACAAAAAATATTTTTTGAAAACATTACACACTTCACCATTTAAAGGGATAGTTTACCCAAAAATGAAAATTGATTTGTGTTCCAAAGATGAACGAAGGTCTTACGGGTTTGGAACAACATGAGGGTGAGTAATTAATGACAGAATTTTCATTTTCCAAACCCGTAAGACCTTCGTTCATCTTCAGAACACAAATTAAGATATTTTTGATTAAATCCGAGAGCTCTCAGACCCTCCATAGACAGCAACACAACTGCAATGTTCCCAGGTCCAGAAACATAGCAAGAAGATCGGTAAAATAGTCCATGTGACATCAGGGGTTCAACTGTAATTTTACGAAGCTACGAGAATACTTTTTGTGCGCAAAGAAAACAAAAGTAACGGCTTTATTCAACAATTCTTCTTCTCATCCCGTCTGCAGCAGTGCGCTATTGTGGAGAGTATCACGACGCATGCGCATGCTTTCGGTTCATGTAAACAACGCATGCACATGGTGCTGCTGCTTACCTAATACGCACATGCATCAGCCCGTGCATGCCTTGTTTACATGAATGCGTTGTTGAATAAAGTCATTATTTTTGTTTTCTTTGCGCACAAAAAGTATTCTCGTAGCTTCGTAAAATTACGATTGAACCCCTGATGTCACATGGACTATTTTACTGATGTCCTTGCTAAGTTTCTGGACCTGGGAACATTGCAGTTGTGTTGCTTTCTGACCTCAACACTATTTTCTGCTGTCATGTGTATTGTGGCTGCCCGATTTGCTCTCCTTTAATCAATACATGCTATTTTTAGTAAGAGAGCATATAAGTGTTGGATTTTGTCTGTGCTGAAGTACTGGTCAACAGATGGTCAAACTGCAGTTATTAGCAGTGGATGAAACTTTATATTTGCTACCGGTGCTGACAGTATAATAGACATGCCTGACCCCAAGAAACTGGCCTATTATCTAATTTACCTTTTATAAAGCACCACAAACATCAGAGACACCCAAAAATCTAATTTCGTTTTACCAAACTTTGTACTAAATGAATCGAAAGTGACCGCTGACCTGCGTGCGACCCGTTGCATGACTTGTGCCTCCTTCATGCGCTGCAGCTCTGACATGTAGGCCATGATGCGGGCGTTGCAGGTGAGGAGACTCTTGGAGGCCTCCAGTGCCTGGTCCCTCTGAGAGCATGCGGCCAGCAGTTTACAAGCACCCTCACGCATCCGGATCTCATAGTCGATCTTCTTCTGGATGTCGCTGTCCTGAAAAAAAAAAAAAAACAGAGGCTAAACTCAAGCTTATTCCCAGGATTAGGCCTAAACGTTTTACTCAACTAGACATGGAGGATTGATCTCATACAATAAAATAAAATTAAATAAAACCTGCCACATAAATATTTTAGGTTAACTGCCATGTCTCCAGGGCCTTGAGATGATTTATTAGGAGTCAAACAAGACAGTCTTCAATAGGAAAGACATCAGAGAAACTCAACATGAAGACAAACATGTCTTTTTCCTCCGCTTTACGTATTAGAATAGATAATTAAAATATATTAAAATATTAAAATAATCTCTAATAAGCACAAATGCCCAAAGTACGCTAATAACACACTGAAGAAGTGTCCCATGTGTCACCCAGAACTGCACAGAGGTCACACCCCAGTCACAAGACCGTCTGCTCCGTAATGGACTGTTCCAGCTCGCTGTGTCTCAATGCAGTGATGTATAAAATTGAACATGGGGGTTAACAAGCTGGAAGAGATGCTCTGACCTCTTGACTTCAGTTTACCCCCAAACAACCAGAGAGCAGGACGCTGAATCATTCACACATGAACTGAAAGGGGCAAACTTTTAGGATGTGGTGCTATATCTAGCATTTGAGGGGAGGCAGAGCATCTTTTAAGGGTCCCAGTTTCTCAGACTGAGGCTGGATTATGAAGCGCAGGCAGAAAATAAGAATAAGGATGAAGAAGGAAACAAAATGAGGAGCTTGAGGAGAAAAGAAGAAAGATAGAGGTAGGTGTGACTGAGGATTTCCAATGGGCGAATAACCTACTGTCATTTAAATTGACTCTGGAATGGGATTTAGCTTTAAGTCTACATGAAAATGAATGAGGAGGAGAAAAGGGCGGAAAAGAGCAAGTCAGCACAAAGCTTAAAATAGAGAAACAGAAGTCAGTCTAAGCCATAGCTCTTGATAAGACGACACGTTAAATTTGACAAGCAAAAATGAAGCTGTGAGGGACATATGTATTTTCAGTGTTTGAAAATAATCAACATGTGCACTGATTGTACTTCCATCTATCAAGGTTTATTTTGTTTCTCAAATTAAAGATGCCTTCTAATCTCTGACGAAACAAGGTAATAACCTTGAACCACTGAAAAACAGTATGTTGGTCACTTTTTCTCAAGTGACATAACTCAGACCCTCATATGCTTCGCCCTTCTGCCATCCACTGGGGCTCCTGTTGCCATGGCAACACCCCAAAAACCCTCTTTTGTGTGCAAGTTTCAGAACCTCATTATAACCAGGCATCAATTAAGACAGCACCTCTTTTTTGGTTCTCCTTTCAAAGGAAAACATGGTTTGCTGTACAGCTCACTGCAACAGATTGTATACTGTCAAAAGATGGACTAGGTGAGCTTCAAAAGCAAAAACTCCTGTGGAAGGCTGAGCACAACAAACCAGTCATGACCATTTAAGATTCTTAACAGACTCTAGACAGAGCTCAGGGAATTACGGCCACCATCCTGCTTGTACAGAGGCAGCCACATATAGAGCAGTTCAGAGAAGTTCACTGCCAACAGCCATCAAAACACTGTCAGTGTGAGAGAGCGCACAGCTGGAGAAAAGAGTGTGTTTGAGAAAGAGATAGATGATCTGTAATTGATATGATGGACAAGTTTGAGAAAGTATAATAATTTTTTTTTTAAAAAACCTGCAAGGAATAGAGTGCATTCAGTTCATTACTTTTGCACTTAGCGTGGAAATTGCTTATTGCTGGTTCTCAAGATAGTTAGGACCCTGTGTTAAACTGTGTAAAGAAGATCCAATATTAGTTTCTTAAGGTTTAATAGTACTAGCAGTAGTAGCAAAAACTGTAGTAATTCTAATATTTTGTTACACAAAACGGTTACTGTTTTTAAGATGATGTAATTTTACGTCAAGCCAAACACAGTCAGCATAGCAAATAGTGACACACTGCATTTCGTGGCTCTGTGTATTCGATTTCCAAGAGCTTGTAACACTCCAAAGAGAAAGGAAAAATTTAAATTGCATCATATGACCCCTTTAACACTAAGGGAGATTACTGAATAAGCGAAAAGGGACAGTATTATATTCTTCAGCTACTTCACCAATTTGCTTTTCACTGTTTCACACAACAGTAATTAACATACTCTTCTGTATTCCTGAACTTTGACTTTCTCTCACAGTAAAAAGAAAATATGGTGACACCCAAAGGCAAAGCACCAATTGAAAAGGCCAAATCACTGACCACACCCACAGACAGACTGGATTTCACTGACCAAGGCCCGCCAGCCTCCAATTAGTCAACCACAAATATGCACCCGCCTTCCCCATCTGTTCCACCCAATCCCAGCGCTCCTCTTTTCGTTCTTGTGGTGCAAGCCGGCACTGAGGACAGTATTGGACTTTCCCATCGATACGGGTGTAAATGTTGAGAAACAAGTTTGGGAATGAGCTATGGGGTTGGAAAGGGCAAAAAGGGACACCAATGACTGAGTAAAGTTTTGATGATTCAGTTTTCTGCAGGGCAAAAGCCAGTTCCTTCTGCGTAATCTAAGATATCCAGGTACATAAAAGATAAGTCATACTAACAAGTCATGGCTTAAGCTTACAAGAATGGATGACATACTGTCTAGCGCAGTGTTTCCCAACCTTTTTTCAGTCGTGGCACCCTTTGGAAATTTTAACAAACTTGTGGCACCCTACAAAATTAATTTTGTCACAATATTTAAATTTCTATCTTCGATATGATAATTTGAAAAGTATAGATATTCGGTACAACAGGAAAGCACTGCAGAATATAATGTCATACAGATATTTTTTCTGTTCCGATGAGCATGAACGGTATACGAGTGGAGCAACTGAGCGGAGCGGGATAACGGATAATACGCAGAGCGCCACACCACGTGAAAGTGAAACCTGAGTGGTGAACTAATTTTCGGCAGCCGAAATTTCGGTGCATCTCTAATTATTGGCGACATCAGAAATGGATATTATATAATAGATGCTTTTTTGAACATTTTAGCAATTTAAAAATATTAAAAAATGATTTTTTTACACGGCACCCCTGCTCTCGACAGACGGCACCCCAGGGTGCCGCGGCACCCCGGTTGGGAAACACTGGTCTAGCGTACACTCCAGGACCAGGGGCCAGTTGCATAAACTGCTTAATCTAGTCTTAAAAGTTAGTCATTTAATATTTTTCTTCAAGACTGGTCATTACTTTGTAAAAGACAGATATATAAAAAGATAAATTGCCCTAACTGACATCCTAAAAGTAAGATTGCTTAAGACTTGGCAAACTAGTTCTTAAGACCTAGTATTAAAGGGATATTTCACCCAAAAATGAAAATTCTGTCATTAATTACTCACCCTCATGTCGTTTCAAACCCGTAAGACCTTCGTTCATCTTCGGAACTCAAATTAAGATATTTTTGATGGATTCTGAGAGCTCTCTGACCCTCCCATAGACAGCAAGGATCCTTACATGATCAAGGTCCAGAAACGTAGCAAGGACATCGGTAAAATAATCCATGTGACATCAGGAGTTCAACCGTAAATTTATAAAGCTACGAGAATACTTTTTGTGCACAAAAGAAAACAAAAATAATGACTTTATTCAACAAATCGTCTCTCCTCTGCATCACCCTGTAGCGCCATTTTGGAGAGTATCCACTGAATACGTTGTTTACATTCAGTGGATACTCTCCAAAATGGCGCCAGGGTGACACGGAGGAGACGATGAATTGTTGAATAAAATCGTTATTTTTGGGTGAACTAACCCTTTAACACAGTGGCTGTGTTTATGCCTCTATATCCAGTATTATCCATGCAGTCTATATATATGTAATAGTTCTGTTATTATAAATAAATTTTCTGTAACTCTGTTATTGTGTAATTCATGAACAAAGAAAAAATATATATTTAGCAAGGTCACAATAAATTGATGAAAAGTGACAGAAAAAACAGATAAGAAGAAGAAATGTTTCTTGAGCACCAAATCAGCATATTAGAATGATTTCTGAAGGATCATGTGACTGCTGAAAATTCATCTTTGCCATCAGAAGACTATTGCAACAATATTTTACAATATTACTGTTTTTACTGTATTTTTGATCAAAAATGTAGGCTTGGTGAGCATATGAGACTTCTTACCAACATTTTAAAAATGGTAGTGTACTGTATATATAACTTAACTAACTTTAGTATATTCCTACAAAACAATCCTCATATCCTTTTTTTCACAACAGCAAAAACATCCTCTAAAAATGTCCGATAAACACCTAGTGACTACAGACTCAGATAATCCACTCTAGAGGCTGAAGAGCTAAATTTCTATGACAACCAGGAAAGATACTAGCATTGTTTGAGAGGAAACAGTGCAGGTCTTTTGGCAGCCAAGCTGCTGTGGGGAAGGTCCAACCCATTTAAAACGCTACCAAAATACTGAAGAAACACTGCCAATGGAAGCTGCTTCGTGTGCAATGATTCTATAGAAAATAACAGCCTCAACAGACAAGCTATACTCCAGACACACAGATTTCGGCTGTTAATACTGCGTAGGCCAAAATGGAATCCTATTTAAGCTGCACAGCAATACACAAGTCTCATTATTAGCGCACAATGGGCCATTTGAGATGCTGTTGTGTATGTGTGAGAGGCCAGGCTAAAACGCACAGTGTGTGACTATGGCTCTCCAGCCAGCTGTTCCCACACAAAGACGAGAAGCTTTCCAGCACAGCTGGTTTTGGACAACTAAAAAGGGTGCGTGTAAATTTACATTTGGGAAAAAGAGGTGTCTCTGTGTGAGTTGCACAGGTTGAGACAGAAAAAAAGAAGGGGTGTGTGCATACATGTGCGTGCTTGAGCTGTGAACTTTGACTATACACAGCCCACATCTGTGATGAAAAATATATTTTTGATATTGTGTAGGTGTTTGTGCGCAATCTGGGAATCGGTGCAAGCAATGATGTCTGTGTATGTTTGAGCTGATGCCATATCTCACTCCACAAGG